TGCTGCAAACCGTGAAAGGCAGCTGGGGGAAGTTGTGTGTCGGGGATGTGCCTAGACAGCAGCTCAGCTTTGTTCTGGAGGTGACCCTGCATGCACCCGCCCCCCAAAAATCACTTCCACCTGTCACACAAGAAAAGTTTATTGAAAAATAAAGTTCTCCCTAGTTTTCTCTACAACAGTGGAAAACAAAGCAGTGCTCTCTATGCCAGTACAGTACATTTGGACAGCGACACCTTGTTTGCAGAACCCTGCATTACTTAACCCCAGAAGTGAACAATAGAAAATGGCTGTAACCAGGATCTGTTTGAAGACACAGATGCAAATGGCCATTAGCTTAAAGACATCAAGGTTGTGACAGCAACTGCAGTGGAAGGGACGTCACCATCTCCTTTGGCATCAACTATTATGCTATTAAAACTTGGGTAGGACAGTGAGCAAAATGCTTCCCAAGTTTGCTCCCGCTCAGCTTTGGCAGACATGAAGCTGCTCTGAGGTTCCTGACCTACTGTCCTGAGAGGCATTTAGACCTCCAGCACCACAGATCCTTTGAGCACCACCCCTTCCCTGCCATCCTCCATCAATCAACAGTGGCCCTGCCCACCACATAAGCATAGGGTTCTCCAGCTGTGGGGTCAGGGTGGCAGCGAGGGAGTATTTTAAGGCTCCACAAAATCTGGGCTAGAGAGATGCTTTGCAGATGGGAAATTGCAATCACTTCATCCATAGGACGAGACTGCTGATTTGGCTGAAGAGAATCCAAAGGAATTTGAAAAAGACACCAAACTCCAGCAAATTCCAACCTGCAGTCTATCCAGAGTTGTGCCAAGACAGGGCAGGAGATAAAACTTTCAATCCACTGGGGAAGTAAGAGGCCAAATCCTCTCCCAAAACAAAAAGCAAACCAATATTTAGGTGATTTGGGAAAACATCATTCAATCATGAGCAGCCTCTAGGAGCTGTTCTGGGAGGCCAAAATCCCTGCCCTGTTGCCCCCAGCTGGCAGGGTGGGGTTGGTTTTCTCTGGCATGAGGCCAGGGAATAACCTTTAATTTGATGGATACATGCAGAGCTAACCAGCCTGGGAGTCCCATCCCTGAGGACAGGAGGGGCCACCCCAGCCTGTAGGGGCGGCAAAGGGACCTGCCTGGGGAATGCGTAAGTTCGATTGGTCCCCCTTAACGCAGAAAAGCCTCCCTTACTGCATTCAAAGGAATACTGTTAACTTTGACTCAAGGGGTGCAGTCTGCCAGATAACCCATTTTAATTTCTAGCTCAAAAATGTTCCTTGAGAAAAACCCTTGGAATGTTCTGAAAGACATCAGTGGGGTAAGGTCCGGTATGTTGCTAGCCAAAGGTCACCTTTACCCTTTCCAGCTGGAGTTCATAAATGCTTGCAGCCTTATTTCCTTGAGGGCTGAAGTCTGGCATATTTTCAAACCAGTGCATTAAAATCCCAACCAGCAGGGTAGGCCGAGAACTGGGCTACTCTAAACCAGTAATTCCTACAATATTCAGTCAACTTGGAATCATGTTTTCATGTAGGTATTTTTGAATCAATAGGAAGGGAATGAGCTCAGCTCTTTATTTCTCAAGTTTTAGGAGACACTAATAACAATATTTAACATTTACTAGGGCTTACTATGTGCCAAGCACTGTGCTAAACACTGAATCCTCACAAAACCCTAAGTGCTATAAGAAAGCTAGGGTGATTTTTTTCTGCATTCCAGACTCTACAACTAATTTGGTCTTTTGCTATAAAAACTTGGTCTCCCACTTTTTGTTGAAGCCAACAAGAATCACAGGAACTCACCCTCAGCTTCATGAAACTCTCAGCTTCCTAAATGAGCATGAATCTATTTATGTCCATCTGTCTACTCACATGAAGATGCTCTGCAGCCCCACAGGGATGGATGGGGTTAGAATAAAGCCAATATGGAAATGACAATACTTTTAAATAAATAAAATAATCCAGGCTTAGGATAGTAACACATACAACAGAGCCTGTCGTTAACAAAATAGATTTTTTTTTTTTTTTTTTAAATCAAGAATTTTTGGCCAGAGGTGAGGGTGGCAATGTCTAATTATATACACAAGCTAGGTAAACCACCTTGGAGAAATGGGGTGGCCACCGGGGTCTGCTCTAAAAGGCACGTACCTACCTATAGACATATAGTTTCAGTCCAACACGTCATACTGATGTCAACCCTGCCAGTGAGTTGAACTGGCCTTGGGGAAGCTCATTATTCACCTTCATTAAGTCTTGCATTCACTAAAGAAACAAAAAAGGTGCACGTTCTTTCCCTGTCATGATGCTGAAGTATTTCTTCTCCAGGCAGGGCCTTGAACTTTGTGGATGCACCTGCTCACATGCTTCTGCCTCAGCCACACCTCAGCAAGTGCGTGGGTGGCAGGGAACACAGGCCGGTTGACACACTGGCAACCAGCAGTCCCAAGGTAGACCGAAAGGTATGGCAGAATCCAGCCCTTTCTTGAGGTTCTCAAGGCTTCACACCCTCCACTGCGGGTAGAAGTGCACATGCATACACGCTATGGCCTGGCGGGGTGGCTGCAGGGAGCTTCTGGTGTCCAGCCTGAACAGCTACAGTGACTCAAGAACATGTCCTGTCTCCTAGCTGGAGGAGTCTGCTATTGCCCTTCAACAGCATCCAGAGTCCAAAAACTAACCCCAAAGAAAAGTGAAAAGGCACATCAAGGAAACAAATATCACCAAAGAAACTAATATCTCCAAACGCACAACAAACACACAAAAAAGCAAACTGTAATGAGCAGTGACAAAAACCCAGTCCAAGCAAAAATGAAAAAAAGCATCTCCATTTATACATGTGCAAATCAAACTGCGTACACCAAATAAATGAGGTGTTTACTGGCATTCAAAGAAGTCTTTTTACTCCTCAAAGTATTTACCTTTCAATGGAAAGCTTTCTCTTTTAGTAAATTAGATGTTTTCTCTCAAGTTTTTTAAGAGCTTAGGATCACAATGGGGAAAATAATCCAAAAAAACAGGCAAGACATTATAGCGCAGAAAAACATTAATCATAACTTAGGATTTCTCTCCCCATGGAACTGTTATCAGCTATAAATCGGTTTAGGATTCTATCAAGATCAGCAATGGCAAAACCTCCACAGGCTCCCAGCCCACAGTCAGGGGCACCTTCCTCTCCTCTTCCACGCAGGGCAGATGGAAGCCCCCTCCCCAGTTTCCTCTTCAGGATCACTGACCAGACCTGGGTCAAGTCTGAGGAGGCCTGGGAGTCAGAACACATTCAGGGGTCACTGACTCTTCAGATAATGCCCTAAACAATTGGAGTGTGGGCCTGTTTGCTCCCAGAACAGCTGCCCTGCCGGTGGAACTCCGGCACGCTTCCAGCCAACACTGGACTGGGGGCACGAAAGAGGGACTTTTTTTTTTAGATGGAGTCTGGCTCTGTCGCCCAGGCTGGAGTGCAGTGGCGCGATCTCAGCTCACTGCAAGCTTCGCCTCCTGGGTTCACGCCATTCTCCTGCCTCAGCCTCCCGAGTAGCTGGGATCTCCTGACCGCGTGATCTGCCCGCCTCGGCCTCCCAAAGTGCTGGGATTACAAGCGTGAGCCACTGCGCCTGGACGAAAGAGGGATTTTTAAATGGCAGAAAGGTGCTCTTCTGGGCTGCCTGGCCCAGGCGGGGGGTGGGAGTCGTGACTTGGAGAAGGGGAAGGTAGGGAGGCCTTGAACTTAGGGACAGTCAGCAAATGATCCCTGCAGCTTTTGGAACACAAGGCAGGGCTAAGGTTCCTTTTCAGCTTCCTTGCTTAAGTAGCAGTGGCTAAGTGGGTTAAACTTTGCTCGGCCTACAGGCTCCCCCTGTTGGTCAGATGCTTGCATTGACATCGTCAGTGTTCAGTGCTCCTGGAAGAGCCCAGGAGAGGGCGGCACTGGCCCAGGGGTTGCAGGGCTGGAACTCTAGCAAATTCCCACACCCTAGGGTACAGCCAAGATGCCCATTCACAAGGAAAAAGTTCTTCCTCACAGCAAGGATGCCAGTCATCTGCCCTCCTATTGCAGGAAACTGCTCTTGCTTTAAGCTTAAAGAAATGCACAGGCTCGTACACACACACACACACTCTCACCAAGGTTTCCTTTGGACTTCTGCCCTTCTTCCTAGGCCCAAGCAGAGGCTTTTCTCAGCCAGGTCTGGAGGCGTCCCTGTGATGATGCTCAGGGCAGAGGCCTCCCCATGGTACTCTCCCTGGCAGATGTTCTTAGGGGCCACCTAAGGAGTGGAGGCAGCCCCGGGTACCCCCCTCTCTCCTCCATTCTCTTAGACTGGAGGTACGATTCAGACCCACTGAGCCCCTGGGATCTCAGTGGGCCTAAGAAAAAAGGCTGGCTGCACATTTGTGTAGCAACTGAGAAAGAAGCAGAATGTAACTTTCCAGACTTAAAGGCCCCACACTTACTCTAGTCCTCATGAAGTAGAATTCTTCCTTTCTCTCACATCTGAAAGCCACCAGCCATTAAGCCTTGCCCATCACTTCTGCCCAGCAGAGGGCTCCACCGGGCTGCCCTCTGTTAGCAGGCTGGGTGCTTGGAAGCCCTGGCGCGGAGCACATCATTGAGCGACTGAAGTGCCCAGCAGGGGCCAAGTGGATGATGCCAACTGCTCACATTAGGCAGAAGGGGGCTCACTCGCATCAGCATGGAGATGTCAGGGGCTTTCCAGAAACTTACAGACTTGTACAGAACATGGCAGCAATGATTCGGTGGGGTGGGGACTTACACAAAGGCAGAGCATGGGGGGTCCAGGGTTTGGAAGGTGAGGTCCAGTGTGTCTGACCAGGTCAACCTGCTAACTGATTATTCAGCAAGTCAGAGTGATCCTGCCTCAAGGAAAAGCCAGCACCAGATTCCCTCCTTTGCGAGCTACACCCTCAGGGAAGCAGCCAGGACAGGGCACTGCATTCATCCTGAGTTGCCCCTGCTTCCCCAGCAGACATCAAGAGCCCCCTTCCCTGGACTTTGGTGCCATCAGAGGGGACACAACACAAGCCCACCTGTCAGGAGCCCAGCTCCGGTCGTGCTACACGTTCTTAAGTTCACTCCTGTCCACATCTTGGCTCAAAGACAATCCTCTCCAAGTCCATGAGCAGTGTGTGTCCTTCATCTCTACTTTCCTCCTCATAGCAGGGCTGGAGGGAGGGTGAGTTTACCAGAAACTCCAAAATGCCTCAATCCCATATTTCTTTCCCAAAGGGATTCTAAAATAAATTATGGCCAAGGTATGTGTCTGGTCATGGGGAGATGGAGGAAAGGGGCCTCATCTCCTTTTTAGTCCCTGGCTGGGCTCTCTGGACAATACAGGCACGTCCCCCCGACTGAAGCAGCCCATGCTCTAGGTGCCATCTATGACAATGCCCTGGGGAGTTCGGCTGTGCTTCCAAAACAAAAGTTTCTTTTGCTCTGCTGCCATCCGTTTTGAGCTGCCAAGTCCCCATGGCTGTCCCTGAACACGCCACCAGTCCCATGGCACATGGTCTCTCTCCTGCACCCTGCCCAAAGCAGACAGAACAGTATAGTGAAGGTGGATGATTAACAGTGGAAATAAAAGAAGCCTGTGATCAATCCCTCCTCTCCCTCCCGTGGTCCCCTCCCTCCCACCCGAATAAATAAGTTAATGGGTTTAGGAATGTTCCCATTCAAAGTTCTTTCCCATCAGCTCAATTCCTTCTGTTTTGCTTTAAAGGACTCTTGAGACTTTCTTTTGCCCTGGAGCAGCTGCAGTGACAGTCTTCCCACAGTTGCTCCTTGAGAAACAGAAATGACATTGTGCCAGGGACAAGCCAGGCTCCTGGCCTGACATATGCTCTCGTTTTGTTTTGGTGAAGACTCCACTGGGTTGCTCGGAGTGCAGCAAGGGCAATACCACATCAGAACCTTCTACCAAAAAGTTCAGGCTCTTGCCAGAGTCCCTGGATTACTTCTGTCCCTGGCCCTGCCTGATGGGGCTGGGGCCACTGTCTTCCCCAGCAGCATGGTGCAGGGCTGAGCAGGTAGCTGCTATAGGCAGTCTTTGCAGAGAGCCACCTGGCCCTTGATGAAGTCCCGGCAGGGGCAGACCCTCTGGTGCCTGGGGTGGGCGCCTGCACAGCTGAAGAGCAGGAGATCACCTTGAAACACACAGTGCTTATTCTTGGGGTCAAAGGAGGGCACCAGGATGTCCTTGGCCAGCTCTGAGCTTTGGCAGGTTACCTTGTACCTGAAGAGGAAGAGAAAGGCACAAGGGTTGGTGATGAAGGGACAAAGCCTGTCCTCGTCACTGGCCCTGTGAGCCCCCATCTTGAGGCATGGTGGGATGTTCAGTTGTCTTGTCCTGCTTTAGAAATGAAATGGTGCCCACCCTCTGCGTCTGCAATCCTCCACCTCTAGGCATCTAGACTCAGGAAGGCATGTGTGCACCAGGGAGTGTGTGCAGGGGTGTGTGTTTGAGGCTGCTCAGTGAAGCTTTGTCTGCAATGGAGAAAAACTGGAAACAACCCAAATACTCACCAAGCAGGAAATGGCCAAATAAATCATGGCCCTTCTGTGCTTTTAGAGTTCCCTGCAGCCATTGAAAAAGAATGAGGGAGAAGAGAGGAGCAGGAGAGTCATTCTGGGGAAAGGTGAGTCCCAGAAGGGGAAGCACAGAGCAATCAGCCCGCGGTGTGCACATGAGAGGTGAAGGCTGCAAGTTGAGACAGCTACATGCCAATGCCTTAGCAATGGCTGCTTCCAAGAAGTGAGAATGGGGCAAAGCTAAGCATTATTTACATGTTTTTTTTTTTAAGTATGTTTAACTTTTTAATTAAAGGCTTAAAAAAATTCCCGTTATATGGCCTTAGCCTCTTGCTGGAAAGCAATCAGACAGAAGGTGCTGTCCCAGGGCATCGCCTCCCTGGGTCTTTGCAGCCACCCTTCAGCCATGGCAATGGTAACCCCAGTTAGAGCAGGTGAACTGAGGCTTCAGGATGTGCAGAGAAGGCCTGAATGCAGGCCCTGTCTCCCCAGTCCTGCACTCTTGCTCCTCTGCCATCTTCTCCCAACAGCTGAGTGGTCTCAGGCTGTGGAGCCTGGTGGCTTTGCTTCCTTTGGCTGGGACCACTGCCTGGGGGGCTAAGGATATTCTGATGTTTCCATTCCCAACAGTTTTGGCCTCTTATCTCATATCTTTCCCTCCAACTTGGGATGATTGCCCCCATCCACCTTGGTTCCCGAAGGAGGCGGTGGCCTCACCTGGTGTCCTGCATGAATGCTAGGTGGGAACCCATGCTGTACCTGAGATCAGAGAAGGTGGTGTCGGGGGCCGGGCAGACCTGGGTTTGAGTCCTGGCTTTGTCTCTTAGGAGCTGTGTGGCCCTGGACAAATGAGTAAGCCACTCTGTGGCTCAGATTCCCTTCCATAGAACGGGGATAAATAATCCTTTACTGCAGGAATTTAGTGCTTCTACAGCATATAGCAGAGTCAAGCTCTAAGTAAGTCGATAAATGGCAGCTATCATTATTGTTAGGATCGTGGTCACCGTCATCATCACCCTGCCTTGGCAGACACCGGATGGACTATACCACCTCCCCTCTTGCTTGACCAGTGGTATGAATTTACACACCAACCATTTCTGTTTCACTTGGTTCATGGAAGTCTCATTTTTCTGCTGACATGGAGGGGATGAAGATGGGGAGCTTGAGGTTTCTCGTTGCCTCAGAGAAGCTTCCAGATGGGCTTGTACGGGTATGTATGCATATGTGTACATGAGCATGTGTGTAGAGCATGTTTATGTACTTGTGTGTATTTGTGTGCGTGCATGTGTATGCCTGTGTATGTGTGTGTAAAGCATCGTTTTCTCTCGTACTCCTGCCCTGTCTTTCTCTAGCTAACCAACTGCCTGGGGCCTTCCTTCCCTTGCCAACATTAATCCTGCGATTCCCTGCACATCTGCTGGGGCTTCTGGTGAGATCTCCCAGGCTGTTAGCCTGGCTCCTGCTCAGTTGCAGCTGAAGCCCCAACTGCTTCTGGAACTCAGCATGTCACTGGTGCTCGGGCCTCCCTCCCCCAGAGCCTGCGGCGCCTCCTGCTCCTGTGAACTGCACCAGGAGCCCAGGCCTGCTCAGGAGAGCAGGACTCTCTTCTCTTGCTCCCACAGTCACCAGGAGAGTGCTGCCACTACCCTGCATACGCCACCACCCCTGCTCTTGATGCCAGCTGGGAGGTGGTGATGCCCAGGGAGTTAAGGTCATGAATCATGAAGGGAGAGGGCAGGAAGTCGATGTTTATGGACTTCCTAAAAGGAAAAATGAGTCAGAGACTTGCAGCTACCAGGTCCTTCACAGAATTTCTCAACTGGACAAGAAGAAGAAAAATATCTGGAACTCCATTCTGAATGACAAGTTTACATATGGAACATGGCCTTGGGATACAGGTTTATACTTATGACCTTTTTTTTAGGTGAATTACAGCAGCTGCTGTGGCTTTACTTAAACCATCTGCCGGCACACTGCTAACCAGAGCACAGGAATCTCTATGGCGACTCTCAGACCCCATGGCGAGGCGTGTAATTGTCAGGAGCCATGAAAAACCCTCCTGCCCGCTCCCTGGGTCACCTGGACTCAGGCTCTAGGCCACCATCTCCCAGGGCAGAAGCACACACGTGTGTGTGTGTCTGTGAGCAGGATTCAGCTAAGGCTGCAGCAGCAGAAGCCTGCCTGGGGTGATGCACAGAGACCACCGCAGACTGCTCAAGCAGCAGACACTTCACCAGGCCACAGGTACCTGACACCAGGCAGCTCCTCGAGGGTTCAACTGGTGGATGCGGCGCTGTGGAATGCAGGGCTCTAACCAACTCCCTGGCCCCAGTGTCTTCTAAGCTCCCTTCTAAGCTCTCCCTTTTACTGGCATGCATGTGCCCGTCCTACAGCCCTGAGCAGTCAGGAAGGTGACTCCATTATCCTTGCGAGCAAAGGTCATCAGTGAGGAAAAGCAGCTTTCCCCAGTCGCTAGAGCACATGGAGACCAAACAGCCTCTGCAGCCCAGGATCCTCAGTCCCTAGGTGGTCCTTGCCTTTCCACGGGGTGCATGGTGCTGTGTCTGCCTCTCTGTCCCTGCAATGTCTGTCTCACAAACACCCACATCCTCTTGCTCAGAGACCCCACCGCAGTGTGCCATCTTCCTTTCTTCCTAGTATCTTACAGGATGGGAGTTAAAGTTTCTGGGCCCATCAGGTCTCAGTTTACAATTTATAGCTCTCGAAGAATAAGAAGAGGCAAAGCCCCCTCCAGTGGGGCTGGTCACACTTCCTCACCTGAAGTCAGGCAATGAGCTGAGAAGTCACCAGTCCCTTCCTGACACAGACCTATAATACACAGGACAGGATGCACTGGACAGGAGGTGAGTGCTGCTGTCTCACCTGCTGCTCCTGCCCCTCCCTCCTGCCCCTTCCCTAGAGTGCCTTCCCTCCCTCAGCCCCCTCTCAAGAGGGCTCTGTTCCTTCTGGCTCTGCCTCGCCAGGCCCCACCTGGCAAAGACTCCACTGGGATGCTCTCAGTGCAGCAGGAGCAATACCAAATCAGAACCTTCTACCAAAAAGTTCAGGGTCTTGCCAGAGTCCCTGGATGACTTCTACCCTTGGCTCTGCCTGATGGGGCTGGGGCCACTGTCTTCCCCAGCAACATGGTGCGGGGCTGAGCAGGTGGCCTACGAAGGGTCACCTTCCCTCTCTCAGGTAACAAAGCACTCACAGTCTAGACCGTACTGCTTGTAATTCTTCGCATAGAGCAACCCCAGTTGCCAGTAATTTAACATTTTAGAAGAAACAACTTTAAGAGGTAGCAAAATTACAAACTGGGCAGGAACACATGGCCCTGTGTATGGAACTGAGGTCCTCTCCACTGGGCCACACTGGAATGGACCCTGGCACTTCCTGGAGCCTCCATCTTCCAGTCCCTACCCCAGTCTGGGAGGAGACTTGTCCAGAGGATGTGGGTCGCACGTGAATCATGCGTGCTCTGTGGTGGCCTCTTTAGCGCTTAACTGCGCCCTTGCACCCTGCAGGCACAAGAACCCGAGGCTGGTTTCCTGAATGGCCCTGATTCAAGACAACACAGGACACTCCAAAGGGTTCCCCTGATGTGATATACTAAAGTCATACTATAGAGTGAGGACAGGTGGTTCTTAAACGCTATGGATACCCAAAGACTGAAAAAGGAACTTAAGCTTAGCTCAAAGCAGGCTCCAAGTTGGAGATACAAAGGCAGTACTGGCTTGCAGGAACTGCTAATTGCTAATTGGCTATGAATATGGATGGGCCAGGATCACCTCCACACTGAGCAGGCACTCAATAGACTGCCAGGTAGCTGGGGTTTTATAACATTATCAGTATTTACAAATGCATGAACAAGTTATTCAGCAGGGTTCTTATGTTCAGAGAATTAATTTCAGATGGCTTTATTGCAAAATTAGCATTCATTCCAGCCTCCTGCTAAGCCCTGATCTCTACAGTGGGGTAGGGGGTGGGGGTGGGGTCAAGTGATCCCATGGCACAGGGCCTGGCCTCAGGACAGTCCCATGCCAAGCCCTTCTGCTCCCATGAACTCTGCATGGATATGGAGGTGGGGAGGGGCCAGGGCTGGGGTTGGCTTATCCGTCTTGGCTCAGTGGCCTCGGGCCTACTCCACTGCCCAAAGCTCTCTGGAAGAAAAGGGTGTTTTACTCTGTCTTTGGCAAGGGCTGTTCATTGTCTTACCCATCACCTAGGATATCCCCATTTTACAGATGAGAAAACTAGCAGAAGCGAGGGAAGTGGCCATTTGCTCTTTCTCCTTCCTGCCTTCCCTGACCTGGACCCTGGCCTGGAGGTGGCCTGCCTTTGTAGGGCCCCGTGCTACTTCTAGCCAGACCCTAAGCAGAGTCCCTGGGCCAAGAGCCCTGACTCCTGCCTGGCCAGGAAGGAAGCCGTGCTGTTCAGGAGTCCCATTTGGTCCCATTGCCAGGATGCCGCTTCTCATATCTCTTCTTCCAGAAGTGGGCTTATGCAGACAGTCCCTAGTCTGTAAATAGTGAATTCTGACTTCTGAGGCAGAGAGACTCAGGGTTCTCAAGAAGCCACCTTGCTCCAAGAGCTACATGCAAAAGGAGCGAGTGGAAAGCCCCTCAGAACCCTACAATTCAAGATTTGCGCTGTGGAACTGGAAGCTTCTGGTACCATCACAGGCTTTCCAGACATCCCGGACTACCACCCACTCCCTAAAGCTTGCCTGGTGGCAGAGCAGGGTGCTGCCCCGAGTCCCCACTTTTGGCCTATGCTTTTGTTTTCATGGTGTAATCAGGGCAGCTTCTGTGCCTGGGTCTTCTCATAAAAAGAACAGGAAAAAAATAGCATCACCAGGGCCGAGTACGGTGGCTCATACTTGTAATCCCGGCATTTTGGGAGGCCTAGTGGGGCAGATCACCTAACGCCAGGAGTTTGAGACCAGCCTGGCCAACATGGTAAAACCCTGTCTCTACTAAAAATACAAAAATTAGCTGGGCGTGGTGGCGTGCAGCTGCAGTCCCAGCTCTATTTGGCAGGCTGAGGTATGAGAATTGCTTGAACCCGGGAGGTGGAGGTTACAGTGAGCCAAGTTCACGCTACTGCACTCCAGCCTAGGCAAAAGAGTGAGACCCTGTCTCAAAAAAAAAAAAAAAAAAAAAAAAAAAAAGCATAGCTCACACCCCTACCCATGAGAGCTTCCCTGCAGCAGGCAGGACACAAGAGGCCACACACTCTCCCTCCAAAGGGTTTTACACCACATTTACGGATAAGACGACTCACAGGAAACAGGCCAACTCAGACCATGGTGCACAAATAACAACAGTGGCCAACAGCACTAACAGGCGTGAAGCCAGAATAGGGACAGGTGAGCCCTGAGCCCCAGGTCCACTCCACTTCCTAAACATCCTCTTCAAGCCTGGAATGGTATACCTGCTAGACTGAGTATCTGGAGTTGGGACAGCAGGGTCTTATTATTTCTGGGCTAGTCTCTTGGAGAAAACACCTAATCATAGCTACTAAGGTGGTGGGTAGGCTAGAAAATTATGCAATATGTGGACCACGGTGGGGTGTGACAAACATGGAGAGAATGGATTCAGGCCTGTCAAGGGTCATGGGTGAGAGGTCAGAAGAAACCTCAGATGGAAATTTGGGAACTGCAAATGCCCAACTCAAAATGTCAATGCAAAGGGAAAGGAAAGGCGCCACTAAGTAATGTAAGCACAAGGTAAGAAATTCAAGGAAGGTGCCTCCCCCGTGCAGCCCTGCGCCAGCATTCCCAGTGGCGCACTCACCTCATTACCAAGGGACCCCACAGACTCAGGTCTGCTGGGGCCTGAGATGTACCATGTGTCAGTGACCTAGAAGAAACTGCAAAAGGGAATAGGCCGCAGAAGGCTGCTCTTAGAAATTGTTGTGGGCAGTTTTGTGCCAGCTCCTTCTCCATGTTTCTCATTCCTTTCTGACTCCAGGGTTGAACAATGTCACTCGCCACCAGCCCCTTGCACTGCTCAGACTCTGCTGGGGGCCTGGCTGCCAGCAGGGGTCTGAAGAGCTGATCCATCTACGCCTGTGACTCTGTGGCCACCTCTACTTCCACTGTTCTTGGGGTCAACATTAGCAAGCTGAACACCTCCCACAATCTTCAAACCCAGATACAGTTTTATTTATGCAAATACAACACCCCCATTCCAATTCTAAACACATCATCACGCCAGGTGACTTCATCTCACCCAACAGGAACAGTAACAACACTGGGCTAACTCTCAGGGGATCCTGCTGCAACATACTCCCCTTCCACACCTTATCCCCACAGCCCAGTAGCTTGGAAGTGGAAACCTGTACCTCTAACCTGACTACCCCACAAGGCCAGATGGAGTCTAGGGGCTGAGTCCCCACCCCCACCCCAGGGCACTTACTTCAGCATGTCCTTGTCCTTGTTGAGGTGCTGGAAGAAAGAGGGCTCGCAGATGAGCTGGCTCTCCTGGCACACCTGCTTGCAGGACTGCCCGGGCTCAGCAAGCTTGACCTGCAGGGCGCTGAGGGGCGGCCACATCACTTGCCCATGGCAGAAGTCCTAGAACGACAATGAAGCCATCAGCCACAGTGCCAAGGATACAGCTGGGGATCCCCAGCTCTGCCAACCACCCTGGCAACGGGAGGCGGCACACTGGGAGAGCATAGGGATGGGGAAGAGTTGGGAGCCAAACGGATGGGCTGGATTGGGGCTCAGCTGGAATATACCTTCAGGCCAGATCTTGACCTCTCTAACCACCAGCTTACTCAACCTCAAGATGGGGACCAACAGCAGTGCCTTCTACAAAGGGCTCCAGGATGAGAGGTCATACTTGTGATGAGCTTGGCACCACGCCTGCCCATGAAGGGTGGCTATTCTCAATCATCACCATCGACACTTTGCAGTCAGGCTATTTAGAGCCTCTGCTCTTCAAGGCCCATCTTCGGACAAGCCTCCACCAGCTGGTCTGTTCCCTTCTCTGATTCCAAAGGCACTGTGTCTACCCTATCTTGGCAGTTACCTAATATGACACTGTTTCATGAGCGCTACTTTTATCTCAGTGGCAAGGTTCTGATGCTCTGAGGTGAAGATCATGCCAAGGAAGACTGCAGACACTTCTGATACCACCTCATATGGTGCTATGTCCTTGGTAGGGACTTAGTGCTGGTTGGTTGAAAACAAGTACAGTAAGTCCTCACTTAGTGTCGTGAATAGTCTCTCAGAAACTGCAACGTTAAGCAAAATGACAACATAAAGAAACCAATTTTACAACAGGCTAATTGATATTAATAAGAGTTAAGTTTCTATGGCACATTTCTTGTCAAAAAAATCACCAAACTTCTAAATAAAGACCCAAAACACTTCTAATATTAAACATTGAAACAAATGTGAGCTATACATGCATTTAAGAAAGACAAATGTAAGTAAGATAAATTATTTACTCAATTTTTGGTGAATCAGTGAGTAACAGCAGTTGTAGTGGTGGTGGGTTCAATAGAGTAATACACATTCGCGAAGTGAAAATCGTAAGGCGTGCCTCCTCCCACCTCGTAATTCACTATCAATCAATCACTAACATGCACTGCAATCAGGCCTGCCTCCACCAGCTGGTCTGTTCCCTTCTCTCTGATTTCTTGCATGTGTATGATTATCGTTGACTTTATGAAGCTTTTATTGTACAATAATTTGTATCGATTCATTTGTTTTTGAACCCTGTTATTCCAGCTCAGGGTCGAGGGTGGCTGGAGCCTATACCAGCAGCTCAGGGTGCCAGGCGGGAAGCAGCCCTGGACGGAACACGGTTCCATCTCAGGGTGCATTCACATACACCCCCACTCACTCATGCTGGGACCATGTAGACACGCCAATTCACCTCAGGTGCCCAGCTGGGGGATGTGAGAGAAAATCAGAGTCCTTGAAGAACAGCCATGAAGACACAGGGAGAATGGGCCGACTCCACACAGACAGTGGGCCCGGCCAGGAATCAACTTTCTTCATTCGCAACATTATAGCAAAATGACATTATTTGAGGATCTTCTGTACAACATTTCATATATTCAAGAACTGGAGAAATAGTCTAAGTAGCATATGATAGGATGAGCAGGAATATGGCACCCCCTACCAGGAACATGTGTTAAGTGCTCCGAGTTGGGCAGAGCCAGTGGACCCTGGGATCTAGAGGGAGTAGAGGAAACCAGCAGGTCTAAGGAGGACTCGGGGGTTAGGAGAGGGTTGGAGGACTGCCCCTGAGAAGTAACACGGAGTACCAGCACCAGGAGTGGTAAGGAAATGTACTTTTCAATGTGTGTCCTTCTGGAGTATCCTACTTTTTCTCACATTTCCTTTCCAGATCTGTGTGGAGGAGTTGATCGGTAATCTCAGGGCCCAGGGCTCCTAGCACTGGTGCAGTCGGAGGAAATTCTGTCATGTGGAATGCCACCACAGGGATATGAGGGTCTCATGCTACCAGGTGGGTCCCTTGGCATGGAGGTAGGTGTAGCACCAGAACAAAGGCTGGCCCAGAGCTGCATCCAGAGGGCATACTGTTGCCATTTTTCTTTTTTTTAACCTTGTGCTTGTATATATATACTTTTTTGAGACAGAGTCTTGTGCTGTAACCCAGGCTGGAGTACAGTGGCACAATCTCGGTTTCCTGCCACCTCCGCCTCCTGGGTTCACGCAATTCGCCTGCCTCAGCTTCCCGAGTAGCTGGAACTACAGGTGTGCACCACCACACCCAGCTAATTTTTGTATTTTTAGTAAAGACGAGGTTTTGCCTTGTTGGCCAGGCTGGTCTTGAACTCCTGACCTCAGGTGATCTGCCCACCTTGACCTCCCAAAGTGCTAGGATTACAGGTGTGAGCCACCGTGCCCGGCCTTGTGTTACTTTTAATGAGCCAAAAGACAGTAAGAAAGAACAAAGCAAAACCCACCCAAGGCTCTGTGGGCAGCTGGCCTTGAGAGCACTTCCTGCCTCTTGCTTTTACCAGCTATGTAACCTTTGAGCCTTGAAGAGCAGAGGCTCTAAATAGTCTGGTTGCAAATTGTCGATGGTGATGATTGAGAATAGCCACCTATTTGGGCAAAATACCTAACAGTCTGAAGACTTAGTTTCCTCATCAGAAACTAAGATGATTTCTTAGGGTTATTGCTTCTTCCTATCTCCTTGAAGGAGGAAATGCTGAGAAAGGCATTGCCAGCTGAGAACGGCAACTGTAGGTTACTACTGGGTTACTTGGTGCTAGCTTCTCTTATAGTCTCCTTAAATCAAGGATCCTGATTCCACCAAGGCAGGCAAACCCACTGCTGCCCTCCACTCATGTGTTCCTATGATAAGCGGACTCGACTACTCCAGCCTGAGTGAGTTTTGGTGGTTAATGAGCAAAATGCTTCACCAAAGAGTTGGCAGGAAACCTAGAACTTGGATTCCTATCAGCTGCAAACAGAATTCCAGGAAGGTCTAATAATTCAGAGATGAAAAGAAACACATTGGATTATTGAGGGATATTAGGATGCAGCTTACTCTTCTGAAAATGATGCACAGTGGGTGAATGGGTAAGCAGAGTGTCCCAGGACCCATACAGCCATGGGCACCACCAGAGATAGACAACCGGAGAGGAAGGCCCTCAAATGACTCCTTATATTCATGGTGATTTTGAGCACAATCCAGGCCCCCTGTTAAGCCTGGATTGTGGCAAGATAACTTGAGTCTGAATGCTGCTACTAAGGCCGACAGCGTGACTGCACAGACCTGTGGGACCCTGAATGGGGACACAGTGATCACTGGTGGCTGTTGCTTTCTTAGGTGACAGGAAACCTACTGGCTAGCCTTTGACACTCTGCCCATCCCATCGGGACAGTTGTCACCAGACAGGAAGAATGAAAGCACACAGTGATCAATGGAGTTACTGATGATCAGAGCTGAGTGAGGACATGGGCATTTGGAAAAGGTAAAGTGTTTTTTGGTTGTTTTTCTGGTTGGCTAATGCAAGCAACCTTGTTTATATAGTTTGAATATCCCTTATCTGAAATGCTTAGGATGAGAAGTGTTTGGATTTTTTCAGATTTTGGAATATTTACATATAATAAGTATCTTTGGGATGAGAGTCAAATCTCAACATAAAATTCATTTATGTTTCATATATATCTTAAACATGGAGGCTAAAGGTAATTTTATACAATATTTTAAATACATTTGTGCATTAAACAAAGTTAAAGTACTATTATGTGTGAAATTTTCCATGGTAGTGTCATGTTGGTACTCAAAAAGTTTCAGATCTTGGAGCATTTTGGATTTTCAGATTAGGGATACTCAATCTGTAATTCTTTTTTTTTGAGACGGAGTCTCGCTGTGTTGCTCAGGCTGGAGTACAGTGGCATGATCTTTGTTCACTGCAACCTCCCTCTCCCAGGTTCAAGCAATTTTCCTGCCTCAGTCTCCTGAGTACCTGGGATTACAGGTGCATGCCATCACGCCCAGCTAATTTTTGTATTTTTAGTAAAGACAGGGTTTTGCCATGTTGGCCAGGCTGATCTTGAACTCCTAGCCTCAGGGGATTCGCTTGCCTCGGCCTCCCAAAGTGCTGGGATTACAGATATGAGCCACCATGCCAGCCCGCTCAACCTGTAATTCTTTAGGAGCAGTTGGATAACTTCTGCAGCCTTTACATTTTATAATAGAGAGACTTTTAAATCTACATACACCAAGTCATGCGACTGAACAGAAAGAAGCCAAGTGGGAATGTTTCTCTCTGCGTCTTGGATTTGGCTTGACCCAGTCCTGGATTAGGCTGGGGAAATGAAGATCCACGAAGGCTGAAAGCTCCTGTTTAGGCTTATGAATCATGACTTGTAAGAAAACTGTGGAACATCGCTACTTACATGACACCTACAAACAGAGCTGAGGGCAGTATCTCTGTACTTGTTGAGTTTGGAGACTCTTTAGAAACTTGGCTCCTTATTCATGCTCAGCCTCATGGGGTACAGGAAGCAGCACAAGGGTTAACACTGAAGCTAGAGGCCAGGCGCAGTGGCTCAGGCCTGTAATCCCAGGACTTTGGGAGGCCGAGGTGGGCGGATCACCTGAGCTCAGGAGTTTGAGACCAGCCTGGTCAACATGGTAAAACTCCATCTCTGCTAAAAATAGAAAGAAATTGGCCAGGCGTGGTGGTGCGTGCCTGTAATCCCAGCTACTCAGAAGGCTAAGATGGGGGAATTGCTTGAACCCGGGAGGCAGAGGTTTCAGTGAGCAGAGGTCGCACCACTGCACTCCAGCCTGGGCAATAGAGCAAGACTCCATGTCAAAAAACAAAACAAAACCCTGAAGCTAGGGCAAAGAGTCTTCCTTTGTTTGACAAGGAGGAAGTGACATGGTGAAGGAATGTGCTTCAAGTCAGAAGGAGCAGATTGGAAGCCTTACCCCACCACAGTGGTGCTTTGGGCGTGTTACCTGGTCTGGTCTCATCTCCTGCTAGTCTGCAGAGAGTGAGGCTAATAGATAGTAAGAAGTGGAGCTGAGCAGAATGCAGCAAATGGCAGGTGCTCCATAAATGCTCCTTTTC